CGGTCATAGTTGCCTGCCGGAGTAAGATACTCCCGGACTTCGAAACCGAAGAAGATCCGGTGGAAGTAGAGTGGGATGAGACCGACTTGATCGAAGCCTGGGAGCAAGGTATCATGCTTCCCGGTGCTCCTCAGCTGTTCGTCACAGCAGGACATATGTACTCCCAGTTGTTTGCTGAGGAGGAGATCAAAAAGAAGGTCGTCAAGACCGCCGAGGAGTCGGTACCTAAACAGTACCACGAATTCCTGAATGTCTTCTCCAAGGAACCATCAGAACGGCTACCCGAAAGGAAGCCTTATGATCACGCAATCAAACTCGTGCCCGGCTATTCGACCTTCCACTCGAAGGTGTATCCTCTGTCGAACAATGAGCAGGAGGAACTCGACAAGTTCCTAAAGGAGCAGTTAGCGAAAGGTTATATACGGGAATCGAAGTCACCCATTTCATCCCCCTTCTTCTTCATCAACAAGAAGGAAGGGACACTTTGACCCGTACAGGACTACCGCCGGTTAAACGCGATCACCGTCAAAAATCACTACCCCTTGCCGTTGATCACCGAAATGGTGGATAAGCTCCGTGGCGCTACGCTCTTCACGAAGTTCGATGTCCGATGGGGATACAACAACGTCCGGATCAAAGCCGGTGACGAGTGGAAGGCGGCTTTCGTAACTAACCGGGGACTATACGAACCCCTGGTGATGTTCTTCGGCCTCACTAATTCCCCCACGACCTTCCAGGCGATGATGAACGAGATCTTCCATGATCTCATTGTCGGTGGCAAGATCCTCGTGTACCTGGATGACATACTCATCTTCTCCACCAACAAGGAAGAGCACGAGAAGGTCACACACAAGGTTCTGCATCGCCTTCAGGACAATGATCTATTCCTGAAGCCTGAGAAATGCGAGTGGGACGTCCCCAAGGTCGACTATGTTGGCTATGTGTTCGGTGGCGATGAGGTAGCGATGGATCCCACGAAGTTAAAAGGAATTAATGAGTGGCCGGTACCCCGGAACAAAAAAGATGTTCAGAAGTTCCGGGGGTTCTTCAACTTTTACCGCCGCTTCATTAAGGACTTCGCTAAGATCTCGCGACCACTCGACCGGCTCGCAGGGAATGACCTATGGCATTGGGGCAAGGAAGAACAGCACGCCTTCAATGAGCTCAAGCGGCTCTTCGCTACCACACTGGTCTTGGCGATGTACGACCCTAATTGGGAAACGCGCATTGAAGTCGATGCCTTAGGGTACACCACTGGCGGCGTGTTGATGCACAAGCAGGATGATGGCAAATGGGACCCCATCGCCTTCAGATCCCATGCGATGGATCCGGCACAGTGTAACTACGAGATCTATGATAAAGAGATGCTCGCGATCATTGAGGCGCTAGACGATTGGCGCCACTATCTCGAGGGGTTACCCAATCAATTCGAGATCGTCACCGATCACAAGAACCTTGAGTACTGGCGCACATCCCAGCATCTCACGCGTTGCCAAGCACGCTGGTCGCTGTTCCTAGCTCGCTTTGACTTCCGCATCACGCACAAGGCCGGGACGTCCAATGGAAAGGCTGATGCCCTGTCGCGTCGATCAGACCATCAGATCGGCGATGAGGACGATAACACCGATCAGGTGGTTCTCAAGCCAGAGCGCTTCCGCATCGCCTCCGCCCGGCGCGGTCATGCCTCGGTGACGGCCAATCAGTCACTTCTGAAGCGCATCAGGGAATGTTCAGAGAAGGATCGGGAGGTGGCCGAGGCACTTGAAAAAGTGCAGGACCTCGGGCTGCCCCGGCTGCAAAGGGGTTTTGAGGAGTGGAATGCCAAACAAGGGCTTCTGTTGTTCCGCGGGTGCGTGTATGTCCCAAAGAACGCGGAGCTCCGGCGGGATATAGTCAAGATCCACCACGACTCGCTGATCGCCGGTCATGGCGGTCGTGCCAAAACCCTGGAGCTTGTGTCGCGGAACTACTGGTGGCCAGGAATGTCCAAATTCGTCAATGAGTATGTAAGCACCTGCGACGTGTGCAACCATACCAAGACATTCCCAGCCAAACCCCAGGGTCCGCTGAAGCTGAATGAGATCCCCGAGCGCCCATGGCAGATCATCACGACCAATATGATCGTTGGCTTGCTGAACTCTGATGGATTCAACTCGATCCTGGTCACTGCCGATCGCTTTACCAAGCAGGTCCACTTCTCGGCCTGTCATGAGACCCTGACGGCAGAAGGTGCAGCAGATCTGTACATCCGCGATGTGTTCAAGCATCATGGGGCCCCGGCCAAGGTCATATCAGACCGAGGTCCCCAGTTTGCTTCGAAATATCTCCATGCGGTGTACAAGGGACTAGGGATCGAGCCGGCGCTGTCCACAGTGTTCCACCCCCAGACAGACAGCCAGACGGAGCGTTGGAATCAGGAAATCGAGCAGTACCTGTGTGCTTTCACAAGCCACAGGCAGGATGATTGGGCAAAGCAGTTGCCGCTTGCGGAATTCGCACTAAACAACCAAGTTCACTCCGCGACCGGGCATTCCCCATTCTTCCTGCATCAGGGGTACCATCCTGAGATCCAAGTGCGGATCAATCCGATGTCTGCAATGCCTGCGGCCGCTGATCGGCTCAAGATCCTGAAGGAGATTTGCGATGACACGTGCTCTGCGCTCGAGCTATCAGCCGAGCACATGAAGGTGTACTACGACAAGCACGTGCAGGAGGCACCGGTCTTTGTGCCGGGGGACAAGGTCTGGCTTGATGCCCGGAACCTTAAGCTGAAACAGCCGAGCAAGAAGCTCAGTCCCAAGCGCCTCGGACCTTATGCCGTGTGGCAAAAGCTCGGAGACTTGGATTACAAATTGGTTCTGCCGAAGTCGGTGCCAGTGCACCTGGTGTTCCATGTCTCCTTGCTTAGCAAGTACATGCGTAGCAAAATTCCGGGCTGGGAGCCAGAGGAGCCACCTACGATCGAGGTTGAGGGCGACGAGGAGTACGAGGTTGAGCAGATCAAGGATTTGAGGATCTTCCGGCGTCAGCTGCAGTACCTCATCAAGTGGAAGGGTTATGACGACTCACACACATCATGGGAACCGGCGCGCAACATTGCCAATGCGCCGGCCCTCATAGCCGACTTCCACTGGAAGAATCCGAACACCCCTCATCGCCTCAACACTGCGACATTTGGTGGTCTCAACTTTCAGCCAGTGCCTTTGCCACTGACTGAAGCACGCGGCCGCTCCGGGTGGGAGATGGGCAAGGGCGCCTCGCATGAGGTCATGCGCCGTTGAGGGGGGGGTAATGTCACGAGTTGACACGGCGTCTAGCCATTTTTTAATTTTTTCCTTTTCACGGGCTCAAACCCACGACCTCTGTACTACTTGCCTGATACGGACACATCATATCTACTGTACGATTAGATTAGATGGGGTGGCAGTGCGCGGCACAGCCCGGGCTCCGCTGACACAGCCTCTCTGACTCACCAGCCCCCGGGGCCGCGTCAGCATGCTGTGCACGGACCAGCTGCGCACGGACCAGTGCGCACAGCCTGCCCTTATTCTCCCCTATATATAAGCCGGCCTCTGCTGCCCTAGGGACCTCAGTTTTGACCTCTTGTCCCTAGGTCAGTAAGCACCCTTTGTATTTCTTTTCTTACCTCACTAATATATTAACTTGTCCCTAGCCTTAGGTTTGAGCGTTGCTCACCATCGCTTCGGTGAGAATCAGTCGAACGCCCCCAGCATCCTTTAGTCTGTGTTTCCCCTGTCGCTCGACCCTAAGTCACAACAGAAGCCCTTGTTCGGCATTCCACTCCTCAAAACCCCTTTGCAGCCGGGGTGGCCTGAGGTTCTGTGCCTTTTCAAGTGCCTTGGCCACTACGTGGTCTTTCTCCAAACATTCCCTGATGCGCTTCAGAAGCAACTGATCGGCTGTCACCGAGGCATGGCTGCACCTAGTGGAGGCGATGTGGAATCTCTCCAGTTTGAGAACCACCTGATCGGCGTGATCGTCTTCATTGCCGATCTGATGATCTGATCGATGTGACAGGGCATTAGCCTTTCCATTTGACATTCCGGCTTTGTGCGTGATGCGGAAGTCAAAGCGGGCCAGGAATAGCGACCAGCGCACTTGGTGACGCATGAGATGTTGGGATGTGCACCAGTACTCGAGGTTCTTGTGATTGGTGACGATCTCGAACTGATTGGGCAATCCCTCGAGATAGTGGCGCCAGTCATCTAGTGTCTCAATGTGTCGCGACTTGGGGTCAAGTGACTGGGGAAAACCTAAAACTGGGGGTGTCCGACTGGGTCTCACCGAAGCGATGGTGAGCCAAGCTCAAACCTAAGGCTAGGGACAAGTAGTTAGCATTGAATAAGTAAGTAAGTACAGGGGCTTACTAACCTAGGGATAAGAGGCCGAAACTGAGGTCCCTAGGGCAGCAGAGGCTGGCTTATACACAGGGGAAGTTTAGGGGAGGCTGTGCACACTGGTCCGTGCACAGCTGGTCCGTGCACAGCATGCTGACGTGGCCCCGGGGGCTGGTGAGTCAGAGAGGCTGTGTCAGCAGAGCCTGAGCTGTGCTGTGCACTGCTGCCCATCTAATCTAATTGTACAGTAGAGAGTGATGTGTCCGTATCAGGCATGTAGTACAGAGGTTGCAGGTTCGAGCCTGCAAAAAGGAAAAAATTAAAAAATGGCTAGATGCTGTACCAACTCGTGACACAATGATCACGAGCATCTCCTTATCATAGATCTCGTAGTTATGCTGTGCTGGGTCCATCGCATGGGATCTGAAGGCGATGGAATGCCATTTGCCATCATCCTGTTTCTGCATTAATACGCCGCCGGTGGCATAGCCTGAGGCGTCAACCTCAATGCGCATCTCTCGATTAGGATCGTACATCGCCAAGACCGGTGTGGTAGTGAAGAGCCGCTTGAGCTCATTGAAGGCGTGCTGTTCTTCCTTGCCCCAATGCCATAGGTCATTCCCTGCGAGCTGATACAACGGTCTACACTCCTATATAGATGCCTGACTCGTAGACGACGAGCGAGGGCTTATGGACAGTGCGTCGTCCTGAAGATCGAGCGAGGAAGTCGAGAATGACCACTACCCCAAGCGAAGAGGAGCAGAGACTTGGATGAATAACCAGGTCGAACTTAGGGTTCGACCGATTAATGGTACAACTACTTATACAAGTACCGACTACGCACGGACCGTCGTGTCTATGTGGTCGTGTTAGTGAAGAAAGAAACGTAGTGGTACGATACCAGGCACAAAGTGCGCACGGACCCCATTATGTAAGCTACATAATGTTCAACCTGCGGGTGAGCGCTAAGACAGGCGCCAGTATGGGCACTAGTAGTACAAGGAATAGAACGGAAAGACAAATGTTTCATTACCCCCCTACCAGAGTCGAAGTCCCATTCGACTACTTACTGTTCACCATCTCCATACAACTCCCAATCTACGCCGTCGTCCTCTTCTTCGTCGAACCACTCCTTACGCGCGTTCCTCCCTACGTTCATCCATTCCTCGCCAGAGAGGTGCTTCTGATTCGGCCAGGAGCTGTCCCACGTCCATTGAGTGGTGTCTGGTGTCCAGTCGGGATCGACTTTGCGAAAGACGACGGGTGTATCGGGACGGGGGCGCGAAGGTCCCGCGACGGGACTGGCGGGGGGTTCGGGGTTAGCGCTACGCGGTGGAGGGATGGGTATCGCTTTCGTCTGCCTTTCTTTCTCCTTCCTCTCCTTCGCCTCGTTGATGATTCCTTCGAGAAACACGTTGTCGACGACCACCCCCACGCGTCGCGCAGGTTCTTCAGGTGGTGCGGATACGTGTCGTTTCATCGGCCTGGTTCCGCACTCTCGCTCCAGGTGTCCAGGGGCTTCTTTTCCGCATCCTGCGCATCG